GAATAAAGAACAAGAACAATTTGTAAAGGTCCTCCTGCTTTTGTCAATACATCCATATTATATCAGCTATATTCCTGAATATTAAGATATTTCCTCCATTTTAGAAGGATTTGTGTTTGCAAATGTCCTGTATGATAAATTGGTCTTGAAATCCTGAACAACAATAAAATATCTACAGATTTTTAGAGCTGAAGATAAGCACTTGCAAGCAAGTTCACATATACATATTCACATACTCAAGCACACATATGTGATCCCTGCCACAGCACATCTGCTGCAAGGCAAAGGAAAATAGTTTGTGACAATAGAACTTTCCTGCAGAATTTAACTCATGACAATGCAAATACAAATAGCCCAAATTAGGGGGTGAGAATATCTGTCTTATATATGATTTTGTTTAATGAATCTTCCAAATAAAACAGTATCCATCCTTTACCTTATAAAGTATGGCCCAGAGACAATGTGCTTAAAATACTTAATTCTAACAAATGTCAAAGGTTTCCACGTGTGCTCATGTCGTCTGCTACATTATTTTCTTTCAACTTCATTGCTATTCACGATGTTTGTACTTAGTTTTGACTTCTGATTTGCACTCTCAGTATGTCAGAAAGATAGTAAACATGCTAATAAATGGCAATATAGAACAATAAGGGAATATATAACATAATGAATTCACAGTAGGTAGTAGATCATAACTTTGTCTGAGACTTATTATTTAAAAAATATATATAATTACACAGTCTAAAAATGAGCTGGGCATAGGAGGTGGCGATAAATGATTTGAGAGAAGAAAGAAGGATCTTTAAAACAATCTTGTCTGAGTTTAAATTGTTTAAAATTTTCTTAGCTTAATATTAGTTCCAGAAATAAGAATGGCTGGGCTCAAGGACATAATGGTTCTCCCTGGTGAATGTGCCACCCATAATGCTTTGGACAAAATTCAAAAGAACCTTGAAATCTGAGCAGAAGCGAGGCCTGGAGTAAGGGATTTATTTGACATTTGAGTAAGGTTTGCTATGAAGTGAGAATAAAAACACCAATATATGTATAAAGCAAGTAAAGTTGTATTGGGAAATTGTGTTCCTATCATCTGAGTGAGCCCTGTATTCATCACAGATGAAACTAATACTGCATTCTTCTGATTGACTAACCTCTTCACCATCAGGTCTCTTCATCATCTAGCAATTCTGCTGCTATTACCAGAGCCATATTTTGACATAGCTATCTCCAGAACTGTTGAACTGTCGAAGTCTTCAATTTTATCTGTTACTTCCCACAAGATAGTCTCCAAGAATCAGAAAAAAAAAGGAAAAGAAAAAGAAGAAAGCTTATGGGGAAATCAAAACCACGTATGTCTTATTCTTAAAAGCTATGAGAAAGAACAGATAAATGACTTCCAAAGAAATGACAATTAAACTGACAGCATCAATAGACACCAGAAACAAATGGAACAGTGTTTCCAAAGTGCTAGGGGAAAATGCTTGTCAAATTCAACTTGCTAAGAATTAGTGAGTGAATATGAAATAAGAATACTTTTGTACTTACAGAGTTTGAGCATAGTTCTCCTTATAGACCCTGAGTGAACCACCATATGTTACTGGATAGATAGATGATATAAATTGTTTGACTCACCAAGAAAGCAACAAATACTATTAATTAAGCTGTGATATGTCATTAGTTGTGATGTTCATCCCAATTAGAGATAGAAATATAAAAAGCTGAATCTTATAATGATTTTTTTTTCAAAAAGGAGCTACGAGAATGAGAAGGGAAGAAAAGGAAGGATGCAGAGGTCATGAGGGAACAGAAAGGTTGAGTCAGGCGTAGATTAGAAGAAAGGATATGTGATTGGTAGAGTTTTAGTTAGGGGCTGGTAGGGGAGGAAGGGAGGGAGAATGGACCTGGGATTTTCATGTAATTCAATCTTGTTTGTAATTCAAATGAAAAAAAGGAATACTTTAATAAAGAATCAGTAGAGAAAATGGGGATAAGTCAGAAACAATGTTGAGGAAACTGTGCTCACTTACAAAAAAGTTCTGGCTAAAGTTAGTTAATAAATGCATTTAACAATAACATGGATGTAACTGGTGGGAGGGATCATGTTAAGGATACTCTAGTTCTTTCTATATCTTACAGAAAAGTTAGCAAAATCCATGTTCATTGTTGAATATGTTAACAACCTTAATGGTAAACTATGTGTGCAAAAATAAAAATGAATCTTACAACATTCACAGTAGGTATTAAACTATAGAAATCTTGATTCTCTTAACTGAAAGCAATAGAAGATTTAGAATGAGTTAGGTCTATATGTACAACTGCTCATAAATTTCAAAAATGACCAACAACTTACAGAATAATGTTGAGGATATAAATAAATGTTTTTTTATAATATACTAAGGCACAATCTTAAACATGCATGTGGTGACAAATATAAAAACATTGAATGAGAAGACAGTCATACAGTTGTTAAGGATGGTGGTCTTTGAAGAAAGGGGAAGGAAAACTAACAGTATGACAAGAGGCCAACGACTATATATGTATTGTTACATATATATATATATATATACATATATATATATATATATATATACATATATATATATATATATATATATATGTTTCTTATCCCATTGCCATGACTTGAACTTTTAAACATAATTATAACAAAATTTTAGAAAAACCTTGTCTCCATTCCCAGATCTGTCCTGATGATTTCCTGGTTCAACTGAACAAGAAAATAAACTATGCCTCTGCCTAATTGGTTACCATTCTGTTCCTTATAGGCCCTTAGCATCTCTTGATTTTGTTTTTGGGTTTTTGATTTGTTTTATTTTTGATTATTAATTTCTATAGGAGAGCTCATTCCACTTTGTGTTGCACCATTCCTTAGGCAATTGGTCCTGAAGTGCATAAAAAAAGCCAGGTCAATATGTGTCAGTAAACCAGCAAGAGATCTAGCAAGCAGCATCCCTCCATGTTCCTCACCTTGGGCTTCTACTTTAACTTTCTTCAATGATGAATTGTGACCTGGAAGTGTAAGTCAAATAAACACATTTCCCCCAAGTTGTCTTTCACCAGAGTGGGTTTTTTTAATTTTTTTCTCCCACAGTAACAAAAAAGAAACTAGAACATAAATTGGTACCAGGAGTGGCTTTGTTGTTGTGATAAACCTGACTATGTGGATTTTATGACTTTGTACTATTTTGTAGAAGAATTTCCTACTCTGGACATGAGGAACTGTTTTTTTTTCACAAGTAAAAATAGTACATTTATAGACAGTTGTACAAAAGATTCCAAAATATTTCATCATTGCAAGAAAATGTAATTTAAAGCTAATAAATGTAATACATGGAATAAATGTCACTCATGAGCATAGTCCATTATTTCTTATAAAGTCCACAATTAGGAACAGAGGGTATAAGGTGTGTCTTCTCCAACATTTGGTCATATTAGCTAAAAATCATGGGCCAACAGGACCTGAGTTTCAGGCTCCTCACCTCTCACATGAGGGTCCTGGACTGACCACCCTGGGCATCCTCAAGCTACAAGTTTCTATCAGTTGGTACAAAAATTCTATTTTGTGCCACATTGCATGATTTGGCTTTTGTAAAATCCATAAACATATATGGGACGAAGTAGTAATTTGATAAATCCTGTCAAAAGTGAGATGCTTTAACTCACAGTACTTTCCAAACCAAATCCCCAGATTCCTCCAGGTAAGTAGCCAAGCACATTTTGAAAGTATTTCTTCATCACTTAACAGATGCAGTAAGAACAACCATGATAGATGACAGTGATCAGCAGGAATAGCTCCGGCTGTGGCTCCAAGTCTGTGTGACTTTGGATCACTCAGAGTGAGAACCAAGGTTCCACTGCTCAGTGTTTTGACCTACTACAAATAATGTCCTACTACCTCAAAGCATTTCCAAACTTTAAATTGCCACACAGATACAAAGGGGTTTTGTAGCCAATCTAAGCTGACTTTTCTCTGATTTAAAAAAAGAAAAGAAATCCGGTTTTTAGAAAAATGTGTGTTCCTTAGACACCACTTAAAGCCAAGTTGACTAAGGTCACCCTAGTCTCCCTGTTCCTGACTCTGCTTTCAATTGTACCAGGCCTGAGAATTAGATTATGTCCCCTAAAGTCTAGCAATCTGACCTGGAAACAAGAGAACCAAAGCCTACCAATCCAATCTGTCAGTTTGCCAACAGCAGTAGTGTCACTATTCACTCTGAAAAGTGATAATCTTAACAGTCAGTTCGTTCACTCAGGCACTTAGTGCTTTGCCCTAGTTCACTCTCAGCTGCTACTTTGCTTGTTTGGTCATAAACATTTCTCTTATGTGCCAGACACATCCTTCTCGTTGCAGCACTCAGGATGTTAAGGATGGGCGTCGAGTTCAAGGTCAGCTAGGGCTACAGAGAGACATTGTTCTTAAAGAAAATCCCTTGCACTGATCCTGAGTACACTACCTATGATCCGGACTTAGCTCTTCGGGAAATCAGACATTACCACCCTCTACAATAAAACAATGCCATGATGATTCATTTCAGTAGACAATGAATGAAAGGTCCTATTGGTACCACTGTGTTCTGCTTTCATGGAAGATGAGAAAATTATCTAAATAGCTGTTACCAACATGTGACAGAACTCCAAAAGCAAGACACTAACCAGCTACTCCAAATTTTTTATGTTTCTAGCAGAAATAAATGAAAACTTGAAAATCAGTATTTAACTTCCTACAGAAACCCAGAGACTTCATACTCAATAAGTCTACCACACAGAGGGAAGTTGATACTATGAGTGTTTAAAAATATGTCCAATTAACCAAACATATCAGAATAAAGTTGGTATAATTGATCCTTTAGGAGCTTTAGCAACATGTATTGTGAAAATCACAAATGACATAGTTGGTACAATGTGGCTCCAAACACATCTCTTCCAAACTTAGCAAAAACCATATTTGGATTTTCCAGGTGTCCAATGAGCATCTAAGAGCTTCAGAATGTGGTCATGTCTCTCAGCTCTCTGCTGGGGACACACCAGTCATCATCCTCGTGGTTGGTTTTGTAATGCTTCCAGGCAGCTTTATTATACACGGGAAGTCTCTCGATGGATTCTCTTGACAAAGCCTTAATATAGATAACTGCATCAGTCCCGTAGCCCTCCAAGGAGTACAGCTTTAGTCCCCCTGGAAGTACTGTGCATAGAGAGTACTGTCTATAACCAAAATCAGCCAGGGCCACTGCACGGGATGTCTCAACATGAGGCTGGGGTGCAGTTGAGTACATGTAGTTGAAGAGTCTGTCAATCTTTCTCAGTGAAACACCACCTCCCCGGTCACTCATCTTCACAGGCAAATCCTCCTCACCCAGTGTGACATGAACTTGAATAGGGGGATAGACACGTTTGTCGGCATGGTGCTCCACGGTAGCCCTCATTGCATTCTTGAACAGTTCAAACACCATGTAATAGAGATGAGATGGTGCATAAACCACTTGTATTGTCTGTCCTAGTTCAGGAGATTTTACATAATGCAAATCACAAAGCCGCCTAGCATTTTCATAACCATCTTTAATGACTTCAACTACATCGCAGTTTGGATTTATGCTTCCAATGTGTTTTCGATGAGATGGGCTTCCTTTTCCACCAAACAATAAAGAGTGCTGGTTGAGTAACATTCTAATTGAAATGCGACTCAGGTCGAATCGATCCAAAAAGTATTGGACATTTTGGCTGGTGACAGGATCCACCCCGAAGCTCTCCTTGTATTCGGTCACACCCTGGGCCATGGTTGGAATGACATTATTGTGCCGGTTTCTCATCCTTATCACTGTGTCTGTGAATTCATAAATAATTTTAGCATATTCAGCACTTTTGTCCTTAAAATCAAGCAGCTCCTGAAGAATCTGTATATACCAACTTTGTACCAACAGTACTGATGGCGTCCTGAGAACATTGTCTGGAAGAAGGCTTATTTCTTTCATTATATTTGCCAATCTAATAGCCAACTCTTGTCGCAAAAACATAAATGAGGTCTTTTCCCAAGCATTTACTGATCCGAAGTCCAGGAACTGCTTCATGGAGAGCGGCTATGGAGAGAAGCGCGGAGAGACATGCACATAGAAGTTCACCTGGCACGGAAGGCCGCGCTCCAACTCCGGTCTGGGGCCCAAGGCCAAGGCCGAGGCCAGACTGTGGCTGGCACTGGGGACTTCGGGGCCCGGCCTGATTCCCCGGCCGCCTCGGAGCAGCCTTGCCAGCCTCCATGAGGAACTATTCAGTAATATACTCATTCTTAAGTGAGCTTAGAAGTCAGCAATTATGAGACAAATGTGCATAGTAGAGATCAGCTCATGGGACTTTAAAAGAGAAAAATATCCACAGGGACCTACACATACAAGTGTTTATTCATGTGGTACTTCATCTAAAAATTTAGCTGCATTTTGCCAGTGTCCTGAGAACACACAAGAAACTTAGTTAAAAGCTAGATCTTGTTGCAAAAATTTCAAGAGACAGTAGTTGTTGATATTTTCTGTTGGGTTTCAGTCTTGGTTTGGTGCAAACGCCCCTCATTATATAGGTTCCTACTGTATGGTCTTTGTCACTGTATGTTTGAAGTTGTAATTTGTTTCACAGTAATTCACACTTAAGTGATCCCTTTGAATTGGTGAAGAGACTTTGGGAGTTTGACTTTTAAACTGTGACTATAGGACTTTTGTATTTAGATTAAATTTGTTCTGTAACATGAGACCCCATGAGCCTAGAGCAGCCAGTTCCATAAAGTAATAGGTTGAATGAAAAGATCCCCCAGTATCCCAATATCCTGGGTCCTTAGTGGATGGCATTGTTTTTGGAAGGTTATAGAAGATTTAGGGGGCAGAACCTTGCTGGAGAAGGTATAATTTTGATATCATTGAAGGTACCCTTTGAGGTTTTATAGACTAATGTCACTTCACATTTTCTTCCTCTCTTCTGACTTGGTGTGCATGAAATGTGATCTTCTGTTTCCTGACTGCCAGGCTTGCCTCACACTCCTGCTGCCATGACACTATGACACAGTATCCCCTCTGGAACTTAAAGCTAAATACAGCCCTTCTTCCATAACTTGCTTTTAAGATGGGTATGTTATCATAGTGATAGAAAAGCAACTAATAAATACCCCAAGGTATGATTCCTTCTCGTTAGCATGAGTCCTTTCTTCTGTCATCCTTATGGTATCCTTGAAATAGTGACATCCACTGAATCCTTTGGGGATCCAGATGTCACTGCTTCAGGAAAGCCTCTTGTCACCCCAAGACTTAATTACACTCCTTGTACACCCCAACAATTATGCGGCAATTTAGTCTAACATACTCAAATCATACTACTTTCTGACCTCTTTGCATTTGAGAGAGGGATGGACCTCTAAAATAACAAAAGCCAAACAATCAGCTGTAATTTCTTAAATGCCTGTTATCACGTAAGCCCTGTACTGAATGATTTATACACTTATCTTTATTTAGACTGCCAGTGACCCTTGAAATATCCAGGTGAGTACACAAAATGCTCAAGTTATATATTCAGTTTGAATGTTACTCTACTTTCAGAAAAACAATCTAGATTGTGGCAGAATATTATTTTCAAGTGTGTGACTTTTGTTTATGATGCATGTATTTAACTCTGTGAAGCTGTGTTACTGTGTCTGTCTAAAACACCTTGTAGTCCTAAAAAAGAGCTGAATGGCCAATAGCAAGGCAGAAGCAAGGATAGGCAGGGTTGGATTGCAGAGAATATAAATAGAAGGACAAATGAGGAGTAAAAAGACAGCAGCAAGAGGAAAAGGAAAGGAGGAGATCAGTGGTCAGCTGTCCAGTCACCAAGCCAGCCATTGAGGAATAGTGATAGTAAGGTATACAGAAATAGAGAAAGAAAAAAGACCAGAGGCAAAAGGTAGTAGGGATTAATTTCAGAGAAACTGACAAGAAACAAACCAAGCTAGGGCCAAGCACTCATAATTAAGAATAAGCCTCCATGTGTGATTTACTTGGGAGCTGGGTGGCAGACCCCTCAAAAAGTCAAACAAGCAAAAAAAGTAAAACACCATCAATACAAATTATAGAGTTCAGCTGCAAATCCAAGAGTTTCAGGTCAAGAGTTATGTGTACCTTTTATTATTATTTCCATTCATTAGTTTTCAAGCCCTATATCATAGTACCTTGTGCACAAATGCACTCGATGAATACTTTTTAATAGAAGTGGAGAAGTTAAGGGCTGGAAGAAGTTTAGAGACAGAGGATGGGTATGGAGATGTAGGGAGACAGGGGAAGGGAAGAGAAGGAGATTGTATTATGAGATCAATTCAGTTTTTTTTTCTTTTCAGAATAAAACATGCTTTATCACAACTGAAATTGAAACATACCAGCTCAAATCTTTATTTTTTTATTATTCACAAATAAAAGGTCTGACACTGTACTCAGTAAACAACACAAAATAATACCTAAAATAATTCATTTGTGAACACGTTCAGATTATAGCATCAAAACTTCCATAAATTGAGATAACTTGAGCCAATGAATGAAATGTTATCTAAGACTTAAAAAGGAAGGGTCTTCTTTTTTATTAACAACAACACTTCTTGAAATTCTCTGCTGTATTGCAGTTTCAATTGTAAATTAATTTTAAGATTTTTGTCCCTGAATATTTGGTTGTTCTGTTGATTGTTAATTTATTTTGACTATTTATGTATTATCATATACTTCTCTTACTTTTGAGTATACAAGTGCCATGCTATGCATGTGGAGATCAGGGAAAAATTACAGATATCTTATTTTTCTACATTGGCACAAAGCATCTTTAACCAGTGAGCCCTCTCAGTGTTCCTTATTTATATTTTAAATAGTCATCTATTGATTTGGTGGAATAAGTATATACATGTGACCTAGCACACATGTGGAGATCACAGGACAATTTGTGGAAGTCACCAACTCAGTTTTGAATGTTGCATTCCAACTAAATAAAGAAAAAGTTACAATAAAGAAAAATAACTTTTTGAGTGTATGCCATGATCTATTTCTGTGAGAGAATAATTGATGAAAAATAAAATCTTAAGAAGGAAGATATGCTGGTTTGAAAGAAAATGCCTCCCAAAAGGAGTGGCAGTATTAGGGGTGTGGCTTGTTAGACTAGGTATGGTCTTGGAAGATGTATACAACTGTGGAGGCTGACTTTAAGATATAATTTAGGTTCAAGCCATGTCCAATGAGACAGACCACTTCCTGTTGCCTATGAGTCAAGATGTTGGACTCTCAGCCACTTCTCCAGCACCATGTCTGCTCACATGCCAACATGTTGTACCTTGATTTTGATGGATTAATCTTCTGAACTGTAAGCTACCCCAATTGAATATTTTCCTTTATAAGAGTTATTGTGGTCATGGTGTCTCTTCGCAGCAATAGAAACCCTAACTAAGACACAAGTGTTGGTGGGATACAATCCATTATGTTAGGCAAATCATGGTGGCAGGAATATGAGAAGTTGGTCATCTTTCATTCCCATTCAGAAAGCAGAGCGAAATGAATGTTGATTCTTAGTTTCTTTTCTGTGTATTCTTAAGTCAGCTTTGGACACCAACCCATGGGATAGTACTACCCACATTTAGAATGGATCTTCCCACTTCCAATAATCTATTCTAGAAAAATCCCTTATACACATGCTGATGGATTTGCTTCCATGTGGATTTTCCAATTCTGTCAAACTGACAATCAAAATTAACCATGGCAGTTATCTTTACTTTTGTATAACTATGCCTAAAAGCAGTTAAGATATCTGTCATCTCTCGTCAATCAGTTTGATGAATGTAGTTTGTGCTTACTAGTATGCAGATATTAATTATTCTGCAGTTTCAACTCCCAGGAATCTCATGACTTACCAAATGCTTTGCTCATATAAAACTGAGTGGATGGTTATGAGGAAAAGAGGTTTAGTTGTATATGACCATGAAAACAGAAATATACATTTCTAGTAAATTTCCATTTTGGAAATGAAAACTCCACTGAAGTGTGAGTCAAAGATGTAGCCTATAGCATTATGTATAGCTTTCTTGGTGTGATACTCCTTGTATATGGGTACTGTCTTGCGGTTGAGTCAAGAAAGAAAACTGTCTTCCTTTGTTCATGCTACTGAATGAACAGTATTTCAATATTAGATAACCAGTGATTAGTGCAAAATACAGTGTTCCATTCTTCTTCATTGAATGTTTGACTTTTAAATAGTAAAGCATGATCTTGCCATTAGAAACATCATTCATTCATTCATTCTCACAGTCAGAATTCTCATAAAAATACTAAGCTGATAGCTATAATACATATGTAGAGGAAATGGTGCAGGACTTCCCTTTCCTTACTTGTGTTTGTAGATGATGTGACATAAAAAGTACATATAGGAAACTTTCTAGAAGTTAGAAATAATAAATTCTGACATTGCCCTTACCTTCATTGCTTACCTAGTGCTCATGTCATCTAAAGAACATGTTTCTAATTGAAAATACACTGACTAATTAAGGGCTTCTTTGCAGAAGATAAACTTCTAAAACTTTTTAAGTGGTCAGCATACAAAGTCTCACAGTAAAAACTCTACTATTGTGCTTTGTAGCAAATACCCAAATTGTAATGCATTTATACAAAAACTAAAGGAATAATATGTATCTTAATTTAGAATGGAAGGATTATTTTAATGCACACACAAAAATGTTCTGAGTGAACATTGTTGATGTAGGGGCATAAAATAAAGTCATGTCATTAAAATGTCAACCTTTTAAAATTACTTTTCTATATCTTTTTCCTTCCTCAAGAAAAAAATAGGTGGAGACCCAGAAACTTTGAAAGACAATAGTAACTAGTTAGAAGTTCCATTGTTAAATGTACATTTATTTATTCATTTTTATGTTTTTTAAAAAGCATATTCATTTAATGTCTAGCAGTAGAATTTACATATTAATCAACACTGTAATAGGATGATTTTATATAGTTTATAGGGTTAATTATATGCTTAATTATGTATGTGTGTGTGGGTGTATGTATGTAAGTTCAAAATCTAAGGAAACTAACAGATCTCATGAAGGCA